AAAAAACCCAAAGACTTCTGGTTTTCTGAGATAACATCTATTTGATTTAGTTCAGGCTGGCCCAGAACTTAAAAAGTGATCTGCCTGCCTCAGCCTCCCAAGTGCTAGGATCACAGGCGTGTACCACAAGTGGACCAACTGTACACATACCTGGGGTGTAGCCCTTCCTTTCGATTTTGGCACTTAAGGAGATTGGGCCTGAGGTACAGAACCAGCAACACAGCGTCTTCTCTTTTGTGCCTGCTTGGGGTGACTGTAAGAAGGAACGATTGAGAGAACGATCAGTGTACGCAGCAGGAAAACACTTCAGTATTTTAAAATAGTATTCTAAGTTGTTGGAGAATGTACAAATAATTGTGTTGCCCCCCCCCCCATGGACCAAAATACTTTTCCCTCCCAACCAATGCCTTTCAAATTGTATCATTACTTTTGTCCTTAAATAAACCTAGTTTTAAACCACCTAGTTACATAGACAATAATTAAAAACAACAACAAAAAAAACCCTTTCCAAATTCCATTTAAACTACCTTAAGGAAAGGCAGCACAGGAAGTAGGGTGGTTATAATCTCAAATGTTAACATCTTTGAGAATGTAAAATTCACATGTAAAAAACTCTACATTTTTAAGGTTCTTACTTGCTTTAAAGATGTTACCATTTGTTTAAACCAAAGTTTTTGAAGTCAAATTTGAATTAATCTCATAGAATGTAATGAAACAAGATTCATTTTAATAAAGAAATTAAGTTTTTTTCCACAAAAGCGATGATTCCCCATCATTTGGCAACTATCCCTAATTGGAATAATGCAATGCAGTACAATCTCGTAAGGCATGTTCAGGTGGAGTGACACTGCCTCACAACAAGTGACACTCCTGTCCCTCTCCCACTGCAGTCGTCCAGAACAGATCTTTTTGTTACGACTGTCTTGTTCTGAGCTGGGGCAATGTCACCCCACACGCTGGTCTTACTTTTCAATTTATTTACAGTCACTGCAGTATCAAAAAATGGGCAGATTCTTCATGAACTTGTGGCACTCTTGACGATTCAAAAATAGAAATATTTATGGGACTTAAAAATAAAACTACTACTTCAAAGTTATGAAAATTGAATAGTTCAGGTGATTTATTCTTTAGTATCCAGATGCCAAAAACAAAGAATGAAGAATTCAGTCTTTTCTTACCAGTAATGAAGGAGTGTTGATATCTATATGCTCAAAGACTGTAAATTCCTTCTTTAATTTTACTGGTAGAAGCCAAGGCCTGTGCAGTTCGGCTTTCACCCAATAGCGCACACTGCCATGCCGGCCTTCGAATGAGGTAGCAAGTGGTCTGCGTAGAATATAAAGGTCAATATATTAATCCTACTCCCCCTTCTAAGAGCGATGCAGCAGGGCAGAAGACACGTGGTGACAGCGACTCTGGATCGCCCGGGAGGTAGCAAACATCTGACTGGGCAAAATTCCCAAAGGGATAAGTCACTGGGGAAAAAAACCTTTTATTTCCAAATAAAATAGTAATAGTTAAATATTAGAAAATTTGCTTTAAGAAGCCAGAAGAATACAATCCCTTTAAACTAAGAAGAGGCTACTTTTAATACTTGGTGGCAACATTATTACAGTTGAGTGAACAATTCTTGAAAAGGTCAAGAATTCCATTTAAAAACGGTTAAGAACGGCTCAACTATTCTTTAAGCATCTCTAGATACTGGCAATTGATTCAGACCAAACTCCCGGTTGCGGCATCACTGCCTCTTCCTACAGTGACTAAGGGCTGGAAGAGGCCTGCGATAATAGTTACAGTTTCAAAAATCCCGCATTTCATAAAGCCACGGAGGCTCAGAAAGAGTGCTTTTGCACGTCCCAGTTGATTCATGTTAAAGTTGCTGGCTATGTTTTCCAACTACTAAGACATTAAAAAACCAAAATATTCCTGTAACATACCAAAAGAACCAGAACTGTTTCTGAACTCTGCTACATTTTCACAATTTACTATTTTTCAAAGGTTTGATTTTAGTAATGATCCTTTCTCTCGTATTTTCATTAGAAAAATGCTCAATATTCAGTTATTTACAAGGCAGAGTGCTAGCTTGGATTGGAAAAGCAGCACAAATTTTGCAAATAATGTTCTGCACTTTAGATTCACACCTTAACATATATAAAGCACAGTGAAATACAAATCAGTAACTGATATACAGATACTGTTCAAATATAATACCTTGAAAAAATATCACTTGTGAACCATATGTACATAACTCAAGACGTAGAATTAACAAATGTGTAATCATCTACATATGGCACATGACAAATTGTATGTATTTTTAAATTCATTCTCCAGAACAGTAAATTCTCAAGTTTTACTATGTGTTAAGTGATCAACCTTAGCAAAAAGGGTACAGTCTTTATGACCTGAGACTTGACCAGTACTTTCCTAATATTTAGTATTTACAAAGTGCTTACTATCTCACTAGCACCCTCCAATCCACTTGTATTAAACGAAACACTATTCATACTTGGGAGACAGGCTTTAGGAAGGAATCCTAATAATTGAGCTTGCTTTCTGTAATTTTGCCACACTAGATTAAAAAATAGCTTCTTATGTTTAATATATTGTTTTCCTCTAGCAAATTTCTGTAATGAAAAGGGTTTTTTTTAAAGAAAAACTAAAAAACCAAAAAAAAAAAAAAAAAGTCCATTTAGCGTATGTGATTGTGCAAGAGTGCTCTGGCCCTGGGTGTGCGTCGGAGAGGCCTCGCGCTGGACACTTACGTCTGCGGCAGCTCGAAGCTGAACGCGTACTCGTGCCTTCCTGAATGAATGGTGTGAAAGCCTTCCTCGGAGCTATCATCGTCTGCAACACAAAGAGGACACGGGCGGGCCCTCAGGAGGTGCGCACACCGCGGAGGGGGCGCAGCTCTAACGGAGGTGCCCATCTGCAAGGAGGGCACCGCCTCGGGGCTCAGAGCTGAGTTCTAACTCCACCTCACCGCCCCCTCGGCATCGAACACACCCTCGGTCCCGGCTGCGTCGCCGCTGACACGGGGAGCGGGAAGGCGCGGGCCCCACGGGCTCGCTCGTGCTGCCCTGGGCACGGACCCAGGCCGGGGGCAGCGGGGGCAGCGCGGCCCGCTCGGGCTCCAGCCTGGGCTCGGCCGCCGAGCACGCTGCACCCTTGGGGTACCCCCCGGGGAGCGCCGTCCGCAGTGCGCGGTTGAGCTTCACGGAATGGGGGGCAGGGACAGGGGCAGGGGCGCCCCGCTGAGGACGCGGAGCCGCCGAGCCCCCGCTCCGGGGTCCCGGGCCGCCCGCGCAGGGGCGCACGTTGCGCCCACCGAGCCCGCGCTGCGCCCAACTTCTGATGGAAGCGCCGAGCACGCACAAAGATGGACGCGCCCCTCGGCCCGCGGAGACACGCAGGCAGCCGTCCCGGCCAGGGTGCGGGGCGCGGCCGCCAAGCGGGGAGCTTCGTCCCGGGCACCCCGAGTTCGCCTCCCGCCCCGCTTCCTTTTTGTGCCAGCTCAGCAGCTCCGCGAGGCGCGCCGCGGTAAACAAGTGCCTGGCTGTCAATCAAGAACTAGACCCGAGCAGGAGCGGACCGGCCTAAACCGGCGCGAGCAGAACCCAGCCGGCCGCGGCGCGCCGCCGCCGCCCG